CCTGTTTATCTTCTGTTAATAAATCTATAGCACAAACAGCTTTTCTGGCATTATTTAAAACATCAGATAGATTTCATAAACTGTAAAATATTAATAATAACTGTGTTAATATTATTTTTAAAAGTTTTTTATGATTTCTACATCGTCAGTCCTTTTTTCTGCTCTTTTGTCAACATTTACAGTAATGGGAAAACCAGACTCTTGACCATTTTGCATTAGCCTTTAGCTTAACTAGCCGATCACATGGTCACCTGGTTTCTGAGCACTCCAGTTGTTATACTGTATATATCTCCATGTAAGCAAATTATTACTTGGCTCGATGTTGGCTCATAAGACAAAGAATGGCACAAACATAGAAAGTGACACAAAACTAAACACATCAACATTTTAGTAAATGTGACCGCAAAGATGTGCAAAACTAAGCAAAATAAAGAAAAATTGAATGACCCATACCCGCTGTCCTTAAGAACACAAATAATGCAGTAGTCAAGTTATATATGAAAATAAATAATAAACAAAAATTAAACTACATCTTTAAACATCCATGTCAGTTTTTGCTTTTGAACTAAGACTATCAATCATCTCTTTGTTAACTGCCAGTAAATAACAAAATAATATTATAAATTCAAGATTTATTTTGGCCCAAAATGAATCGGTGGGCAAGTTTGTTGAAACGAGCAGCGGACATTTGAAAATAGAAGTGTTTTTCGTCATCCATCTCCCGCATCTGTTGAACCAACAAGCTAAACTCGCAACTAGCAGTTTTTTGCAACTAGCAGTTGTTTACATGCTAAAGCTATGCATGTGACATCTATGGTGGGAGGGCAGAGGGAGGGATTACTATAATGTATCCCCCACGTCTCTTCCCAGTATAAACACTCACTGCTGTCGGTGACACACCCGCAATTACGTCATCGCTGGGCCGCAGCTGCATGTCTTGCATGAAGTATAAATAAACCTTTAGCGCTCTGCCTTACCACCTGGCCCGTGAGTTCTCACATGTGATTGTGCAAATTGTTTACATCCGTCCCCTGGCCGATGCTACAACAGCCCGTGAGGACATTCACACCACTGTCTCTCAGGTACAGATGGCACACCCACAGTCCCTGATTATCATCTTTGGGGACTTCAATCATGCCTCCCCGTCTTCCACTCTCCCTAACTTCACCCAGTACGTTGACT